TATTACAATAATAAATCACAATATTACTTCTGACGGTTTACTGCTGACTTCTTTCTGAACAGCGACCTGTGAGACGATGACTGGTGTATTGATGTCTCGCGAAAATTGGGGAAGTTGGTTTTGAGCAAACAACCATGAATTGATCGTTCAATGTTGAACTACATTGACAGCCTCCCTGGCACGCTTGCTATCCTTGATGCTCATTTCGAACATGTACGTGTAGACTTGGGTGAAGGCCTTTCAGAATCTCACTGATATGCCTATATCTTAAGCTGCATCGACCGTTTCACACTATGGCCTGAAGCAGTTCCCGTCAAGGATTTATCTGATAAATCAGTCGCACGCGTCTTTGTCTGAAGATAGATCGCAAATTTTGAATCCCATCCTTAATAACAGTTGATTGCGGGCAGCAATTCGAAAGTGGCTTATTCTTTCCCTGACTAAAATCATAGGTTATAAGCCTTTCAGAATAACAACCTATCATTAGCAAGTCAACGGCTTGGTAGGACGTCTGCGCCGACAGTTGAAGGCTGGGTTATCAGCTGCACATAATGCACATTGGACTGAATCACTGCTGTTAGTTCTTCTAGGCATATGAAATGCCTTGAAAACTGATGCTGGTTTTACTGCTGCTGAGCTAGTATACGACACAGCACTACGGCTGCCAGGTATGTTTGTTTTTCCCTCTAGCTTCCCACCGGGGTTAGATCAAGGCTTGCACTTCAACAGGCTAACGAACACAATGTGTCCAGCTAAACCTGATCCCCTTCCACCTCAGTCCAAAGATGTCTTTGTTCACCCGTGTTTGAAAACTTCTTCACACATATTTGTTCGTCGTGATTCCGCGTGTCACCCTCTGGAAGCACATACAACGGACTATATAAAGTCATTAAAAGTGTGGATAAATTCCTTGTCTTAGACGAAAAATGCTTCGGAGTCCCTGTTAGCATCGACTGTCTGAAACCGGCCTCCTTGGAAGGCAATCCTATTGGCCTTGACCTGAGCGTGCCCAATGATCCACAAGTAATCGAATATCCTTTAGTCCTTGAATCAATCGCCAGCACGACGAAAGCCACCGAACCCTCTATCGAGCCCTTAAAGAAAAATCGTTCTGGACAAGACGTAAGATTCCCAGAACATCTTCACACTTAAGTCACATAACTGAGTGATGCGATTCACCCAGTTTTTATTAGTTTGTGGTATTTGTTATTCTCTCTCAGACACATCAATTTTTTACATTGCATCCTGCAACACAAGTAAAACACCTCTTTATAACCGTTCATGTTACATCCACTAAAACACTTTTCGATATTCTATTTTTCGCATTATTTTTCTTTATGGTAGATGCCTAGCATTTTCCCCAGCAAGTTTAATAATGATAATAATTCATATTTCGTACAAATTGGTGTTTACTAGTAATGGGTGTCATTTTTACAGGCACGATCAGTTATGTTATAAATTACAATCTTTAAGTACGATATATTAGCGGTTTTCAAATAGTTTCAACTGTTCGATAATTGTACACGCAATTAGATCAGGATCTTAGAAACATTAAATTGTGAACTACTCACCTAGGTCACTGTCAATGTAGTTAAGGATTGGACGATCAATTCATGGTTGTTTCCTCAAACCCAACTCCTCCATATTTTTCGCGGGAGTCATCAATATGGCAGTCATCGTCTCATCTTTCGCTGTTCGGTTGAAGACGGAAAACTATCAGAAGTATTATCGTGATTTATTGTTATAACATTTATTCTTAGGCCTTGCGTGTAATAACCTTATTGTTGGTTACATATCGGCGTAAGAATAAAGGATTCTCGAGTCGCCAAACTGTGTTCTGGTTTTTCGCGTTGGTTAATACAAATTGTTTCTGAAAGTCTTCCAGGGACAGCGTGAGATCCAACGTAGTAAGACCTGGACATTGACATTCGCCATCAAGGTTGTGCGCCGACCTAAACTTCTTCCCGCTTGGCGACAGTCATGGTCAGCCAACGAACGGCCTATATTTGCGTAAGTGCTATACGTTACATGACTTGAAGCCTTTTCAGGAAGATAAGAATGTCCTGGGAAACTACAAAATAGTGTAAAATACAATTATTGCTCATACATCATCGAAAGTACGTTCATAAGACACTCAGGTAATAATTAGAAAGCTCTTGGAATGATGGTACACATTTGCTTTGTTTGATACCGAACATATTGGTTTCACCATGGAAATTATGAGGTTTTCCATGAGAATGCAGCTTTCTTCAAACATTGGTGTTGTTGCTTTTTACCACGCGAGCAACGAACATGAACAAAAGCGTGAGTTTTAGCTTAATAAAGGCCTAGATAATTGAGATAAAATAGAGTATAACAGTAATTAGATAAAAGGATTGTCATGAACTATATAAGTGACACTTCAGAGAAAAGCAGCTTGAAAGATTAAAACCTGTAGGATGTCTGGCGAATTTGTATATGGCCTATGGTGTAGCATCTTGACAAGAGACTAAACAGGCTTGTAGATATTAGGAGCTGGTTGACTATTTTCATCACCATCGTCTCTATATTCACCCGCAGTCCTGTATCCTCTGGCCGATTTCTTGTCCAGGCTTTTGGTTTTCGCCCGAAGGCCTTCGAGTCAGTGTGGCATCGGACACAAATCGTCCGCGAAATCCAGATCTTTCATAGTCTTCTTATCGTTGGTTTAGCCCATTCCCCCTTCTCGTTCCTCACAGTCTTCCTCATAATCAAGTCCATCAATATTAGAAATATCATTGTTAACAACAGGCATCCTTTTCATGCTCCTGGATAACTTCATGCCAGTTCTAGCACAGGCCTAAATCGCTTTTGGCAGCTTGATGAAGTAGACATCTTTTCTCCTAATCAGTGGCTACCTTTCCTTCCTTTCAAACTTTTTGCAATAATCGCATGAGTATATCCACTGAGATCTCTGTATCCGCTTCCGGGGGATGGAATTCCGTCTGAGCATGCTACGTTTCCGGTTGGCGTTCAGTAACTTGATTGTGCCGGAGACTTATGCCTTCCTGACATAATTTCATCACGAGCCAGCATCGCTTAGAGAACCGATCGAAAACCAGGAAGGTGCACTAAATACCTGTTTCGTCCTACTTTGGGATTACTCAGTAGTAGAATAGGGTCCGTGTATGGATAGGGTCTCGGGTGCGTGATGGCCTACAGGATTGGCTTGTAACAAGAAGGTTGAACCCTAGTGAGTGTATACTAACGAAGAGTTCCAAAATCAGATGAAAAAACTGTCGATTACTCCTAGGTGGTTTTCGTGTCACAATGCTGTAGGTGGAGATTGTCTGACATTGTGTAGGAGTTTCGACGGCTGTTGGGGATGTCATGACGACCACTCCGTTTGTGTGCGCGTGGTTGTTGTTTGGGTGACCGGAGTAGTTAACTGGCCCCGTATTTGTGATAGTTCATCATACTGTGTCATTCTTAGTATTATTCTTGTGCTTTAAAATTTCTATGGTGATTGTATTTATATTCACGGGTAAGGTTACTGGCTTAGTGCCAAACCCCACGTCTTTTCCTGTGCTTGCGACCGGCGAAAAATCTGGCTAGCTAGGGAGTGATGTGAATTTTTTAAAAAGAAGTGGGTGAATTGTCGGAAGCCTTTTTCGCGGCCAGATATTTCAACACGATGCACTGAGAATGGTTACTTCAGGTATATTATAGGAGGCAGTGCTGGGCGCAGTGCCACTCCTGGTTTTCATGAACTAGCAATGCAACAACACTGGGTGGTGATCTCTCGTTTCGCAATGGAAGTAGGGATGTAGTGAGGTATGAAATATCTCTACCTGACTATATGAATACCTGTCCTGACCTGAGGAAATAGGGCCACAGAAAGTGAAACAGGGCCACTCACTGTAGATAAATCATAAGTGTAACTACTCAGCAGATGCAGATAAAGAGACCACAGTGATGCATTCCATGCATAGGCAGCAGGGGGATCTTTTCCTTGAGCACTTTATGCTGTTGTTTAAAACTAAGGCAACACCACGCCCAGAATCTCACAACGACACCCAAAAGTCACTGCTAAAATGCTGTGCTAATCTACTGGGAAACGAGAACCAGGGAGCCACAAGAGCTGCCATAGGACTGGTATATTGGAAGTCCAATGGCCAGACGCCACAGCTGGATCTGTGTATTCACAAACACCTCACAGGCGTGGTAAGACCAGTGACGCATTCAAAATAGTACGTATCCCGATGCACTCTGTCCGGAACAAATTGTGAGAAGAGCGCCCCGGCATCAGATGGTCAAGACTTCTCAGTAGAAATCCATGCAACTTCTTCCCGCAGCCAGTAACTAGGGAGCATAAAAATAATTTTCGAGAATACGTTAGTAGGGATGTAATCTGCTTCAAGTTTGATCACCGACTGATATCAATTAGAAAACAATTGAGAATCAGGAGGTACTGGACGACACTCTCCTCCTTGTGTGGGGCTGATGGACAGTACACAGGCAGAAGTTACCTGCAGTCTTAGCGAAGAGTCTTGACCAGTGGTGTCCAATCGGTGTTAAGTAGGGAGAAATACTTGCTGAAAATATTGGCCGGTTGCACTAATATCACGAAATGGCAGAAGTTAGGATCCATGTGCCATTGAGTCAGGCTGAATGATCTATGTGCTTGAACTGTAACAAGGATGTCTCGGGTTCTAAACCCACCCAGTGTGTACTGACGATTAGTCCTAAACGGGGACTGGGCATATGTCCAGTACTTCCTGGTTTCAATGGTCTCTAACAGACAGAGATAAGTCGTCAAATTTGAAGCAAATCAAATCCCTGAAAGTAAAAGAATTATTTCAGGGTTTATTCAAGTATTCACAATAACGGGCAGCATGCAAAATATGGAATTTTCCAATTATAAGATTCGCCTTTAATTTGTTTGAATACAGCAGTTTAATGTACTTTGTTAGGCCATCTGCTATCCCTCGCTTATCAAGTGATAATTAATTATCAATCCAACAGGCTTCGGACTATTAACTATGTTGTTATTTGCTTTCATAATGTTGTTTCACGTTGCTTTGAAAAGTACTGACGCTGTCACTTTGGAAGAAGGACTTCTGAATGCTTCCAAGTATATCAGATACGACACAAGTTAGTAATTTAATTCGCAATGTTATATTTTCTGTCTATCTAGCTCCTTATAATATATGGATTCACGCACTGATTTCTCTTTGTATTACGTACGGAACGCTTACAGGAGGAATCCTGATAGTACACCTTGTGGTTTACCTCTCTGGATCCAAAAGAAATCGTCGTGCCGCTTAATACTACTAAAATTAACGCCTACGTTGCACATAGTATTCTAGGTTTATATGATGTATTTTATCACTCAAGCCACCAGCTTATTATTAATTAAATGTACTTACCTTAGTCAATACTTCAAATTCAATTATTGTTACATGACGTTATTGTAGTGTGTGGATGAAAATAATTTCATGCAACTCGTCATACATTGTAGTATGCCATTTTTGTTTGCATCAGATCATATAACCTTTTACTTAATTCTTTGTTTCTATCATTTGATGTGCTGGAGCTTTTATGTTAAATCTTAATATTTCCAGATTAACAATAAATAAACAATGTATATTACGATTTATTTTCAGTATTAGGGTCCATAGGACGTTATATCACCCTTTACCTACTCTTAGAAATCATTTAAAGAATTAACATCTTTTTTGTACGCAGGTATGTTGTTACCATAGTGGTTAACTGATTGATGGTTGGTTTGTGATAATGATCTTAATGAGTTATCACGTAGATCACTTTTGAACAGGGTTAACTTACACAGACTAGAATATTAATGTGTGAATCCGATTGGATTAGCATTGTTAGTTTAAATTCGCTTGAGAAGAATCTCTAAATGTAGGTAATAAGCCTCCAAAACTGATGCATTATCGCTTTTAAAAATATGATTTTTCATTATTTACTTCGTTGACGTCAACTACTTAAGTAGATTTAACTTCATGTTCTTCCTATGCTAAATGATAGACAAAACTTATCTGGATTGATACGGAAGTATCTTTAATATTCCTGATATAGACTACATATTTTTTTAACGTGAAGTTAGCCCGTCTAACAGTTACCAATTCAAGTACTGGTCCTAAAAGTAACCGAATATCCGGGTTTTCGGTACTTTGGTTATTGTACAGTTAGACAACAGTACCTTAAAAATTGTGTATTTATGATTTAAAGATTTAATTATTGATTACGGAAGTAAAATTCGTCATGGAAATGTTTAAGGTTGTAATTCTACTCGTTTATATTATTATTGAATCATGGAGAGTTTCCCGTGTTGCGCTGTTTTGCCTGTATATGGATCTTTGTAAAATGATGCCGAATTGGTGTCCTTATATTTGTTTATCTGCAGAACAGAAAACTAGTAGTTCTCTAGCCAATTAAGAAGATGCTCACACATGTTAAGTTGAAAGGTTTCAGAACCAGATACATTAGTTTCTACTGGGAAATAGAAGTGATAGAATATTATACTTTGAAAAGTACAAATGGAAATTATGACATGTAATGAACCATAACCTTATGATACAGCACTTTTTTTGATTACAGCTTGATTTCACATCGTATTTTTTGGTACAGGTATGGAATTTTCAGCATGGATATCGGTAGCTTAAATTTGGCAGGCCGACCATAGATATCAGGTGTGTGTCGGCAGGGGATCGAACCTCGGACCATGTGCATGGTCGGCGAGAGTCCTAACCACTGTGCCACTGACGCACACACTGCTAACTTCAAAAACAAGAAGGCAAACTTTTCTTTTCTAGTGCACCTCATTCTCGCAATTTGACACAGAACGTTGGTTTTTTATGGGACATTTAATCTACTACATTGGGGAGTTAGTTAAAGATTTAGAGAGTTAGATTAATGAGAAGCTAATCTCTTGTAGTAGTAAATAACTAAATCAAAATTTATCCGAATTGCGGCTGGGGTTGTTACATAGATTTTATGCCTGATTTCAGACACCTGAAGAATAAATTTAAAAAAGATCGAAACCATATTTATCAGAATTGTAAGCACTTTATTCTTGGCCAGACATTGAAACATCCCCTCCTTTTTGACTGAGTCAAATACCACCTTCAAGTCAAACAATGTGGAAAAAACTGGAAGCCGGAAAATTTGTTTATTTCAGTGACAGTGTAGTCTCCTCTAGGCTTAGAGCCTGCCCTGTTTTCAAGCTTTGATTTCTTTAGAACACCGCTTAGTCTGAGATTGATTAGTTAACCAAGAATTTTCAACAATGTCTTAGTCCAGCTGATTCCTCTATGATTATCACTAGAGAACTTGTCTCATTTTATAAACTAGGGTAATCAGTGTCTTACATCACTCTGACGGAACTACCTCAGACCACAACATACCACCTAAAATCCTAGTTAACCTTTTTAATAATTCATTATCACCACCATTAAAGTTTTCTAGGATAATTCCATCACTTTCGGCTATTTTCCTTCGTTTTAGATTAGAGTCAGCTCTAAAAACCTCAGTTGTAGTTGTGAGACGAAACTCTATATCTTCCTCATGTGGTGTAACAGCAGAAGGCAAGACACGGAAGGAAAGGTATATTTTCAATTAATCAAACCGCTGTTTATATATACAAAGTTTATATTCTTTAACCAATCACTTAGCGTATGATTTTATTTTACATTAAATGACATGAACTAGAATGTTCAAACACGTGTAGTATTCTTTTGCTAATGCAGCATTGAACTGTAGGAAAAGTATTCAGACGTTAACACCAACAAGTACAGTGATTCCTACAGTGAGAATAATATTCCGTTGGAAGAAATTGTATCACATCACCACATTGGGTGTTAGGCAAGTTTGGAATGGTTGTATTCCAGTTGCATTGGTCCTGAAAGCATCACCTCCGAGATTCCAATGGTTTGTTTTAAGAGGCAATTGAAATACTGTATTCCTCGGAAATAATACCGCTTACCGTTAGCTTTTTACAACGACTTTTAAAGTCAGTCTAAATAGTTGTTCGATCTTGCATACCTCTGATGCATTTCCCATCTATTTCTCTTTTCTTAGCCATAACCTTTCACAGTAGTTTTAGTCAGATTGCAATATAACAGCTTCTGCTCTTTTTCATATTCATAATCTGCCTGGATCAGTCTTATTATGTCTATCAGTTTGAACGAAGTAACAGAAATCCACTGCTGTTTCCTGGAAATCAGTAGCCTTAACCACTGTTTCTACAACAGAGTGAATATTATACCAGGCTTCTTCAGTATTGTATTACTGTCTGTATCAGATACGTGCGCAAAATATGTTTATGAATACATCACTTAGTACTTATTAATGAGTACATCATGCACCGTTAATTCAAAAATCGTTGACACCAAATGAGTAAAACGTATTTAGATTTCATTACAAAAATAAAGAAAGACAAGCTAATATAAAGATAACAGTGACCAAGCATTTAAACTTACGTACCTTTCTGTTAAAAACTTGAATCATGTTTGCAGTCTAGGTCTATGGGAGATTTCGTATTCACAAAATCAGCATTCTGCTTACATCATTCAACGCTTTAAGTGTTTTGCCAAGGCTAGCTAGTGCTCAGCCTTATTTCATGAAACATCGTCTTTATGAACACTAAGACGGAAAATGGTAAGATTTTGGAGAATTCTAGAGTTTTTGGTCGATGAGACTACTTTATGAAGTGGAAATTAATTTACAGTGTGCTTAAAACTACGTTGTTTTAACAGAGTGTAATTTATAACTTTGTTTTTTGCGTGTTACTCAGTGCAGAATCCAAATCTTAAGATACTGTCCAAATTGTAAGATATTTGGTAACTTACAAAATGAACTAATTAAACTCTAAAAGTTAAAGTTCTGCCAGAATCAATTTCGAATAAAGATTCCAGGAGACAAAAACCAAAATATCGAAATTTGTTTGCAAGGGGTAAAATTTTCACCCCACAGTTTCCTTTGGAAAACAAATTATTCAGATCACTAAAATATGTGACTTGGTTGTTACCATAATTGGTATCACCAGTTTTCCCAAGTAGTTGATTAGGCTCCTTGAGCCGAGTCGAACTAATTACACCACTGATGAGCTCGGCCTCAAATGAACATCTGGTGTTTAGATCACCAAAGTCTGTTCGGTAGGCATTATGAGTCGATATGGGTGGTATACAACTACTTATCTCATTCAGTCAGTAGTATATAGTTTTATTTTAGGGGAAAAATAAGGAAGTAGGAATATCATTCATTAAGTAATACTTTATCACTGAGTTTTATCAAAATGACTGTCTAAAACATGAAATTATACTCTACCGCCGTGCTCACGTTTTGTTTGTATTCAACTGAATTACAAAGAGGTGTAGAATACTTACGCCCTGGGTTAAAACATGATTTAACTTGGTTTTTATTGGTAAAATAAAATCAGCCCTGTTAAGATATCACTGAAGGACAATATGAATACACAAGCCTACGTATATATTTCAGTATTCAGGAATTATGTTTCACTAGCTGAATAAAGTTTTTATTTAGCGATGGTGTTGATCAAAAATCTGAATTATTAGTCCTACCTTCATATGATAAGTCGACGTTTGTATTACCTGGCTATATTATGAATATTTCTCATTTCCGTGTACTGCTTTTCATTCCCGCTCCATGCTGTCTGGACAGATTTATTATTTATTTTATTCCTTTATGTTCCCAGTGGAACATACAACTTCAAGCTAGAGGCTTCAAATTTCGGTAGCAGTGGTGTTTAATATTTTTACGGGATGGTGTTGCTAGCCTGACGCCCAGTCTTCCTTCCTTCCTTACCAGTCTTATTATTGGCTTAGCTTGGTAAAGGAGCGTGTCAGCCGGAGATCAAACCCTGAACCACATGTTTGGTTGTCCAGCATTCTACCTATGTGTCACCGACTCCCATTCTGGACAGAAGTCAAACGAAAAAGCTATAATAAACCTTCCACCTAGATGAGTACAACAATTATCTATTTTACAAGTCTAAGAGTGACTCTGTAATATAAACATTCGTCTGAAAACAACTCTAGCAAATATTTTATGCAACCTACCTGTTGAGATAATCAGAACAAATGTCATGATGTGAGCCATAATATATATATATATATATATATATATATATATATATAGAGAGAGAGAGAGAGAGAGAGAGAGAAAATAAGGAAGAAGGAATATCATTCAGTAAGTAATACTTTATCACTGAGTTTTATCAAAACTACTGACTAACATGAAATTATACTCTACCACCGTGCTCACGTTTTGTTTCTTTTAGGCTA